GGAGGAAATAGGCAGGGCGGTGGTACCTACCCGTGCGGACTCACAAGAGGTCCTAGGTACCACCAGTAAATTATTATATAACATGAGTATAACATAAGTTTGTTGCGCCTACACGCATGGTTAGTTTAATCAGTGGTTCGTTTTGAAAACATGTCATCAGGAGTACAAAGGAGGACATAGCGTAATTCTCATCTAGAAAAAAGTACTTCATTTATTTCAAGAGTTTTTTGTCTTTGTAAAGCGAGCGATGCCACATTTTAAAGCTAGTTTCAAGCAGAGCGACGAAGCGGGCTGATTCGTAAATTCAAATAAGTATTTTCTAACTGAATCTATAGTTATAAATAATAAATAATAAACCATCCCACACGTAAGAAAGGCTCGAGCGCAATCAGATAATCGTGATCCTTTAAAATCCACAATACTATGAGTGGTATATGTAGGATGCTGATCGAATGAGTAAACGGATCACGTGACTGCAAGTCATTACGTGACCCATAATAAATCAACTCGTTTTTATGACAAACCATAAGGGAGGAAATGGTTCTTTTAAATGCTCCTACAAACTTCTTCCGTTCTTACATTATGAAGGATAATCGATAGAACATCTTCGGGAGCATTACAATGTGAATCCACGAAACCAGACATTGCGTGTTTCACCAAAATACAGTAAAAATGGAATTCGACCTTTAATTGTAAGAATGCAAAGTCGAAAATAGCATGAAATTTTGAAAAGCTCAATAGAGTTTTCTTTAGAATGTTGCTCGACAATATTTTACCTTATTGAAATTGGCCGAGGACACATATCCCCAGTAACTGTTTTTATGTATTATTTCGTCCCAAATTCATAAAGATGGATGTTTTTATGTCGTTACGGCGTCGTGTCGGTACGGGGCCGGTGCCGGCTCGTCCCTGCTCACTTCTGGTGCTGTAAGTTATATTAGTGCCTGTGAACTGCACTCATAATTTATTTCACGATATTAAAGTTATTTTTTATTGACATTGTTTTGTTTACTGGCTTCGATGGTCAGCGCACGCCAGCGGAACTGTTTCAAGGTATAGTATAATATAATAGGTCACTATAGCCAACATCAGCTTTAACGCTAGGAGCAGGCTTAGGGACCCCGGTAACCGTACTCGTCGAACTTGGCAAAGAGTCGACGTGCAACCTAACCCAAGCATCAGCCCGCTAGTTTCTCGCCGGATCTTCTCAGCGGGTCGCGATTCCGATCCGGTAGTACATTCATTCGCGAAGCAGTTGTTCTTGAGTAGTTAGGTTTCCTTTGGAGGTGCTCGGGCAGTTATTAGCTATTTCCACTCCTCCTGTCTGAGCCTTTGCTCACCCATCTGTCCTGGTGAAACTGGAAAGGCCTCCGGGCCACCAGTAATCCTTCAATCATAAAAAAAATAAAGCACAAAGCCATACACATTAATAGACTTCAATTTTATGCTACTGTTTATGGGCTTCGCAACCGCTTAAGATCAGGTAGGCCGTGAGCTAGACTACCTATCACAGCTATTAGAAAAGAATATTGAATATACAACAACTTTTATTGCAATAAATTCATTGTTATACTATCTCAGGGTTGACTTGAATTAACCAATAATTAATTAGTTACTGGAAAATTCCGCTTTAAAACTTCACACTTTACAGCTGGTGGACCGTGAGCAAGTCTGACAGTGAGAAAATCGTTATAAAATCGCCATTCAGTTCTCCTTAGGAACAGTTAACAAAACAATATACATATCGCGCTAATGTATTACTTTGTGCTCACAATGGAATCCCTCGTGAACAGCGACCGCCACTCCTGTGGGCACATGTCGACGGCCCAGGGTAAAGGCTCGTCTGTCATAATCTTAATTTAATCATCTACACATGTCATTTTAATATAATCGTAAATGTATTGTTGTTTTTGGACTGTAATTTGGACAATAAGCAATCGGATACCAGCAACAAAACATTTAAAGACGATTTTAATGACCGCAACCGCATTTTAAACTAATAATTGTTAATTGATTGTTACGAACACTTTTGTGTATATTATCGGCATTAGTGTATGATGTACTAGCCTCAAATTACCGAGTATCATAAAGTAAATGGCAATTTTGGATAATATGAGCCGATTCTCTTTTAATCAGTGTTCAGGAACTCGACCAAAACCTTATTGAATGAAACTTCAACCTACAGGTTTCTCTATGTTTGAAATAAAAATGACCAGACTTTCGTTGCAAATTAAATTCGAATTTATCTAATATATAAAATTCTCGTGTCACAATGTTCGTTCCCATACTCCTCCGAAACCGCTTGACCGATTCTCATGAATTTTTTTATGCATATTCAGTAAGCCTGAGAATCGGCTACTATCTATTTTTCATACCCCTAAGTGATTAGGGTTGTCCACCCCTAACATTTTTTTTTATTTGGACTTTTTTTTTTGTTATAATGAGGTATTATGTGGTTGAATGAGGTTTTGTTATTTTTATTATATATTCCCTCATCGTTCACAGCACCACATACCTCTTTCACTCATTTACCACATCCATACACACTTACAATAAGTTAGTTTTTTTTCTACACTAGAAATTCCCTAGAAATCTTATATATGGCAAAACAATGTTTGCCGGGTCAGCTAGTAATATTATAGAATTATGTAAGTTTTCGTTAAAAGACTGATATAATTTAGTTTTCGTTTAATAAACTATCAAATAAAACGCGTCCTAACTTTTTATGAAATAATAATTATCTACTAATGGTAGGTTTCATTATAGCTATTCTCATACTAGGTATCATAAACTCGATTAATTGAATCTAACTATAAACACATCTTTAGTAGGGCACGCTCGTAAACAAACATGAACTGTTGCCGGGACTGCACCCTTATTTTTCAAACTTAATTTCTAACAACGTACCAGAAATGTTGTTTATCCACGATAATGTAGAAGATGATTTAGATGCCTTATTTACATGCGAGCATTTTTTTTAAATCGATAATACTTAATTTAAATATAATTCGTAATTTATCACAGTTAAAATTCCTAATTCGACAAGCTACCCTAATATTTGCAACAGCAAAAACCTAGTAATACATAAACAGCCACCGTGCAAAGAATGTGAATTGAGGAAATGGATCGCTTCTGGTGCCTAGTTTAGTGCTTATGTCTTGTGAGCCTGCACACGCCTAGCTACTACCACTCTGCTGCCGCAAAGCAGTAATGCGTTTCGATTTGAAGGGTCGAGCAACTGTATTACTATACAATTGTGACTTAGAGCTCAAGATGAGTGGCGACATTCACGTGGTCTATTGGCGTCGGCAACCACGTGCCACGAGGTAGGCTGTGAGCTCGTTTATATGATGTTAAAATGATGGCGTAATAGACTGAACCCAGAAGCGATGACTCCAGACCGCCCAGGGTCAATTCAATAGAAATAAAAAAGGGTTTAGTATGACTTGTTGCCCTTCGACGGCTCATGGTGAACTTATTCTTCTTCTTCAACCCGTCTCCACCCAATGCTGAGTGTAAGTCTTCTCAAATGCACACCATTTCTTTTCGATCTCTTGTAAACTTATTATCTCCTATTGACGCAATAGGCAAACAAAAATGACTTCATTTTCGGCATGTTGACATATTCACGGGTTGTTGAAAGTTTATGATAAAAATCAGGAAACGTATCGACGCTTGAAAGGCAAACGTGACTAAGCGACAATAACTGCTTCATACATAAATTATAGGCAATAACCATATTCGATGCGCAAAAAATATATATTTCTAGGTCTATTAAAATCATTTCAATCCTACAGCTAGATTCGTTAAAGTAGAATTTTTTTCAGGTATTTCAACTTTAAATTAGTCTACTGTAAAGTTCACGCATTGGTCACGTTTGCCTTTCAAGAGTCGATATTTAACTGGAAGGAACGGTGAACGCGCCTTTAGAGCACGCACGGCACAATACGCACTGCATATATGGGCATCTTTTGATCTAGCCGGTTTGTCCCTCAGCGGTGCCTTTGCTGTGAAGTTCAAGGTTCAATTTGCATAAATTATGTTCGAGATTATACCGATACAAGTTTTAAGTTCAACCCTGAATTAAAGAAAATGACTCATATTCAATATTGATATTGTTCAAAAATGAAACACTCTGTACAATGAGAATTATTTTAACATCTTAATATCACGTTCGATTTTCAGTTTACGATCTCTGATACTTCGATCTATGATATTCAATCGATATGTAATCCCTATGCCGATCTACCACAGTGTGGGTATAATTAATATAAACGGTAGACCCTTATGGAACCTCAGAGTTCACTACACGCAGTTCTTTAATTAGTATCTGGTCATTTAGTGAGTCCCAAATAAGCTCAATCACGTCCATCAGTGACGATGTGACGCCGAACCAACGCCGTCTGCGGTAGTTATAACGTTTATGGTCAACAACTGGCAGGTGATCAAGTTGAAACAAAAAGTGCTTTACCGAATTATTTTAGGCTTGCGGTTCAGTCTAGGTTATATATAGACCTGAACTCATACGTTTAACATAAGCTTTTGGGTCAGTGAGGCCCGCAGCGGCCTCTTAGAGTCGGTCTAAGATGTAACTTTGTCAACAAAAGATAAGATATTTTTAGTATGTACAGCTTAGAAGTCGATCCATATGTTGACTTATTGTATTTGTCCAAAATATGGAAATGACGTATCATAAAAATACATTATATTTTTATTATAAACTAGCTGACCCGGCAGACTTCGTAGTGCCTCAATCGAAAAATAAAAGACCTAATTGTAATTTTTTATTTAATTCTGAGCATTTTCTTAATTATCTTCCTTTTAAACCTTCTCTGGACTTCCACAAATAATTCAAGACCAAAATTAGCCAAATCGGTCCAGCCGTTCTCAAGTTTTAGCGAGACTAACGAACAGCAATTCATTTTTATGTATATAGAAGATGGATAGATAAATGTATGTTGTTTGTATATTGATTTTTAATCATTATTTTATTTCTGCAGGTCAGAACTCAAAATGGCGCTGTATCGGTGCGGGCCGACTGCTCTGGGTAGCCGCACCTCCTGGGGCCCGGTGTCGAGTCCTGAACACAAACCCTTCCCGCGCCCTCTCAGTGGGAACTTTGACAGAATATTCAACGCTTTCGAAAGGACCAACGCCTTCGAGTGAGCTTTTACTGATTTTATCCGATTTCAATATAGAGACAAGTTTGAAGATTAATTCTTTAAGGTTCCGTAAGCATCTATGACAAAGTATCTGTTATAATTGCGGCATGTCTACCTGAAAAGAAGAAATTAATGATATTTTTTCGCCGAAAATATTGGATATCATTGATTACAAATCTTAAACATTCATCTTGAACCTTCATCATGAGCTACAGAACCCAACTACTAAAGTATGCGTAGTTCGACAAGCACTGGACATTTTTGTTATCGATATAGTTCGTACGGTAATTCCATCAGTAATTACCCTATCCTTATCATGGCTTATTTCATTTAATTGGTTAATGTGAGACTCAAATATATTCTGAATTTAAAATATTTTAGCATTTATTATAGTTTTTATAGTTTTTTTTATTGCTTAGATGTTGGACGAGCTCATAGCCCACCTGGTGTTAAGTGGTTACTGGAGCCCATAGACATCTACGACGTAAATGCGCCACTCACCTTGAGATATAGGTTCTAAGGTCTCAGTATATTATAACGGCTGCCCCACCCTTCAAACCGAAACGCATTACTGCTTCACGGCAGAAATAGGCGGGGTGGTGGTACCTACCCGCGCGGACTCACAAGAGGTCCTACCACCAGTAATTACGCAATTCATTTATCATAATATCAAAATCGTCAAAATGGATTTTGATATGCAAATTATTAATTTTTTGCATTTGCTTAGGATGATATTGTGGTATTGATCCTTAAGATTTTCCTTCAAAGGTACGTCCGAAGCAACTTGGACGGCAAGGAGGAGGCTCGCCATGTAGGTCATGCGGATGTAGTGGTGAACAGGAAGATGAGCAGCAGCTACGAGAGAGCCGACTGCGCGCTGGCTGCCCAGGCTCCTTGTGATGACGAAGACTTCTACAGAGAAAAGATCCTGTACTCGCAGGCGAGGCAGCTGTTTCCGCTACAGGAGGACCTGGCTGACTGGATTAATAAGACTATTGGTGAGTTTTGTAAGGAGCCTCTGACCACGTTCCTTAACATGGCTTGTTGTAGGAGCTCACCAGTAGAAATCTTCTTGTAAGAAAAATTTATGTGCCCAATCCATGAGATTATCACTATCGCTTCATTTATTGCAAGTAGATACAGTGTGCCTCCGAGTTTCCAGATCCGTACAAAAGATGATTGAGCGCGGCTGATTGAATTACCAAAATAATTAATTTAATAATAAACTCTATGACTGCGTAAATCTCAGTTTTAACTCCAAGATCGAGCTCAGGTCATATGATTTCTTAAGAACAACAGCTATTACAGTAGAACAAGGACTTCAATTTCGCGTCTCAAAATTGCAATTCATGTTATATCATAATTAGTATTGGCCAGGACCAGACCAAGTTACTGTGAGTTGGGCTACAGTCTATTTATGTAAAGCAGTAAGAAAAACACCAAATCTTGGTCATTAGCACAAAGCAAGGATCATCAACGCCACACCACTGCGATGCAGTGATTGTTGTAAGCGTGTACTTAACAATTATTTTATGGATAACTAGCGACCCGCCCTCGCTTCGCTTCGGAAACTGTAATTTATTATTGATTTCTCCACTATTTAATGAATGTTATTGTATCTGATGATACAATGAAATCCCGTTGTTTTCTATAACGAGACTTTATTTTATATTTGTACAATAATTTGTTTAGAGTAGAGATGTTTAGTTTGTATTTTGATGAATTACATGAAGTAATTATAGAAGCAAGAAGCTTGTATAAATTGAATTAAGTAGGTAGAAAAAGAAGCGGGAACGACATTGTTCCTCGTAAAAGTGTTAGGAGACAGATTATATCTTAATTACAGAGTAGTTAGCTTAATATAGATTATAGACGACACGCAGATACGGCAAAGGCGTTAACAGTTATTATACATATAAATCGAGGAAGGTTCAATCACTCTATCTATTAAAAAAAACCGCATCAAAATCCGTTGCGTAGTTTTAAAGATTTAAGAATGCATAGGGATATAGGGACAACTTTGTTTTATACTATGTATTGATTCCTTTCGTATAACGTTCCTAAGGTATTTATTATATTTGTTCTGTTCAATGGCTGGTCAGTAGCTCCACACACACATCGACAGGACATCGGTCAGTGGATAGCTACAAAACACCAATATACTATACTACATACGATCAAAGTATTCGAAATCTGTCAGAAAGAAAGGAAAGTGTTGTGGTCAGTAACTGGCAACACTTTGACTGATTTATTTGTAAGCATATTTCCATAATAAAGTACCATTTCCATTAAAAAAAACAGCAGGGGCCTAGTTTCGGCCGTAATGAGTAAGCAACGTTTTAAAAAAAAAAACTTCGAAGCGACTAGCTAAATGAATTAATTTTGTCACGAGTTCTAAAGTGATTAGATACCATCTATCTAGTTGCACGGGTCTCAGTCAGAAATTAATTTTGAATATTAATAGACCCGTGTACATACAGATTTCAAACTTCACGATTCGATCTTGAGAAATATTCGAAAAAATTGATAAAGATGTTGTTATGTATTGATTGTATGATGTTGACTGCTTCAGTTTCGATTTTCATTGCACAATATGGGCTGACAAACTCACGGCCCACCTGGTGGTAGGTGACCACCGACGTCCATTGGCACCGCGTGTGGATGTCGCCACTCACCTCCAGATATGAGGCCTGAGTCTCAACTGCATTGTATAACGGCTGCCCAAACGTCATCACTTGACTGCTTTGTAGTACAGATATAGGCTGGATGGTGGTACCTACCCCAGCATGCTAATAATATGCCCATCCACCGGTATTTATCAACTATATTAAGTTGTTTTATTACGTTACAGTACGAAGAAAAAATGTGTTTTTTTTTATATAGTTTATTTAAAAGTGATTGTCAGAAGGTCTCTACGTATTTCAGTAGGCAGCGACTTGGCTGTGCTCCTGGAATAACTGATGTCCGTGAGCATTGGTTAATCTTTACCTACTGCCGCTTTCCCTTATTGCCTAGGCAATAAAAATGATTGTATCTAAAATAGCGACCAAATATCTTCTTCCTGTTCTTATGCCAATTCTCAATTGTACAAAATGTTGTACTCTATTCGTTCACACTTCTGATTAAACAAACGGGCTTAAATAAAAGTACACATCGCATGGTAGTATCTACTTATAAAACTATCATTAATTGAATATATTGAATGCGTACTTATAAATAGTTGAAGTTGAAACTATGCTAATGCCAACCTATAATGGAAGTACCGTTGTATACTGCATAGTCGCGACAGGTTTTGCTGCTCATGTGGACACAGCTTTACATAAGCGTGAAAATACCAATTTCCGTAGGTTTCTCCAAGATGAGCAGCTAATATTAGCAAGGCTTTTAGAACTAGAAATTTAGTAACAGAGATACAACTGCTAAATACAAAAATCCAAGTTATTGATTTAAAACCTTACAATGCTATAACTTTCTTGATCTTATGTTCTTCTGGTAGATACAAATTTGATTTACTCATTTATATGGAAAATAAAAATGTTTTGAAATGTCTCGAAGTATATGTTCTGTAATATACCTATGGTTGGTAAAAAGTAAATAGGTATTCAGTACACGGCATATTTGTATGCGTGTTGTATACGATAGCCATGTTTTTATTCGACCCTAGTATCGCGGGCTTGACTCACGTGGGTTCAAATGGTTGTTTACATATACAGACAAGACTTCTATTCGGTCTAAGACGGTCTACGATAAATCATTAACTATAAAATGTGTCGCCTTTTAAATTGAACGCTGTATCCAAATGAAAATATTTAATATGATGAAAACGATTCTGGATAAACATTGTCATCAAAAAACATTATCACATTATTATCTTGGTTTGTAGTTTTGTACATCCCTGTAACTTGTGTCACTTATGTTGACTCACCATATTATAATAAGTAATTTAGGCTACTGTATACATAAGTAAATAGATTCAATATTTAAGGAAATTTTATATCACATAAGCCATATCGTAACGTCAGCATCAGGTTAAAATATTTATTTACGATTTTCAGAGTATTCATATTATATTCACGCTTGCAAATATCTAAGAGAAATAGATTTACAAGTTAAGACGACAGTAACAAGCATCATAAATCATTACTAACTAAGCTTGCGTGCTGATGGTATAAATTATAAATGTACTAATTTAATTTAGAAATAAATGGGAATTACTTAATACTTGACCGTGCCTAGCCTAACAAGGCCAATATAACTGTATAAATAGGCTAAATTTTATAATATAGTCAAGAACAGCTTACAATCGAGAATCCTGTGTCTGAAACCTGCGTCCCTATTTTAAGAACAGGATAGGTGACAAACAGCTCAAAATGGGCAGCGCCATATCAGTGGTGATGTCTAAAGCCTTCGTCAAACAGAACGCGTAATTAGCTAATTAGCTTAGTATAAGCGCTATAGCGCTGGCGCTCTGTTTGACGGTATGTTACCATAGTAGTACAACACATTTCGGCGTCATAGCGCTGCGTCAGTTTAGCTCTGACGCGCGCTAAGTACGCGTTCTGTTTGACGAAGCCTTTAGGGGTGAAAAAGCCGGAAAACTCGTGAATTTTCCGCAAAAAACACTTTCATGTACCAGGAGAGCATAGCCGAATGCAGTTAGTCGCAACGCTCTAGCGGCGATCGCTGGTAGCCTCTGTCTTGTCGCACGCGCACACTGACGTAACGCAATAATGGGTTTACTGACTCTATTCACGTTATGGTCTATTTGTAGCATCAATTATTACACTCACTGATTGTTATGATGACATTTTTAATAGGTCTGTCTACTTTGCATTTCAATTAAAAAAGACTGTTATGTTCTTGAAACAATTAAAAACAGTTTTTTTAGTCAAAGTGCTTTTACAAGTTAGATTATATATTAGTTTGTTTTAGTATTAGTAGCATTGAAATGTCAGTAAGTTGGGAGGTGGAAAACAAAAGTCAGTACAGATCTTCCCGTGGATGAAAACGAACCACAACAGTCTCTGAGCACACTGAGATTGAACCCGCGTTTATTAGTAGTAGAGAGGATAGTGTGCCCACGCGGGTTTTCCCACCACCCTGCTTGTTATTACCGCGAATTAATCTTACGTCTGATTTGTGAGGTGAGACAGCCGATAAAGAACACAATTAAAATTTCGACCTCAAATAACGAAGTGAGTGGTTACATTCATATTGTGGTGTCCACGGATTCCGATGACCACGTAACACCAGCAGGCTCTCACTTCGTCCATCTGTCTTGTGCTAAAACGACACTACAGAAATTAAAAAGACATGACCAAATTTTTGAAAATAGATCATTGAACTAATAATTAATTGAGCGAAGAGTAAAGATGTAAGTATCAGCGTCATAGTGATCATTTTACTTTTATTTTAAATCATAAATATCTGTCTTTTTCCCACTGTATATATTTTTATTAAATAAAATTACTACTTTCGTTTTGCAATTTATCATGAAAATAAACCCTTCTCGGGATTTAAATGTTTAAATCATTCACAGCGTATTAAATAATATTCTCGACATACAATATTCTGAATGGATTCGATATAGCATTGCCGCGTGGAGCCGCTGCGAACCGCCCAGACTGTACACAATGAATATTTAAACAACCCTTGCGAATGGTACAATTGATGAGAGAAAACATCTTTACGAGATTCGTAAATACAACTATACTCATTTTTATAAATTAATTTGACCAATATAAACTTTTTGAACAAAAACACAAACACATACAAAAACGTGTAAAAGTTAATCTAAAAAAATGATAATTTCGTTTGAACACTGTGTCGAATACAGTACACGGGTCACAGACGGCTCGGGTCACATTCATATTAAAGTATCTCCAGTTGTATCGGTCTGTTATAAGGCTTTAATATTTGCTTAAATTTTAAATTTGAATCTCCACTACCGTTTAATTATAATAAATTATTATCGTTTAAGTTTTTTTGCACAACACAG